TCCAGGGTCTCTTTTATAAGGTCAGTAATCCCACTCATGAGGGTCTGCCCTCAAAACCTAATCACCTCCCAAAGGCCTTACCTTCTAGTACTATTACCTTGGGGATCAACTTTCAACACATGAATTTTAGGGGACATAAACATTCAGTCTATAACAAATGGAATTGAGTTAAATGCAGTCCAGGCCACAGCTGGGTCCTAATTTGATAGAGGATTAAAAGATCACTCTGTAGTAACACTGTACAACGGAAATTTTTGCAATGAAGGAACTGTTCTATATCTGTATTGTCTAATGTAGCAGTCACTAGTCACATGTGGCTATTGGACACTTGAAATGTGGTCAGTGTGACTGAGAAACTAAATATTTAATTTTTTTTTATTTTGATTAACTTAAATTTAAATTGAAGTAGCCACAGCTTTAGAGTTTTGGGTTTTTAACCAAATAAATTATTTCAGGTCCGTGGATATAAAACCACTTCCTTAAACTCAGAGTCTTTGTTAAAGTCACGGACCCAATCCTTGCAATCACAGATAAGAGACTAAATTATATTACCTTCTAAGTGGTTTATTGATACTGTGCATTCAGAGTTCCTCAAGCAAAATGAAGGATCTCACTGAAACACTGCTTGTCATAAAAGATAATCTAAAAGCCCATATGTAGGAAGCAGATTAAATGAACTAGGACACTGTGGTAGGCAGAATAATGTTCCCTGCAAAGATGTCTACATCCTAATCTCGGGAATCTGTGAATACTTCCATGGCAAACAAAATATTTCAGATGGATCTTGATTAAGGATCTGGAGATGGGGAGACTGTTATCCTGGATGGTTCAGGAGGGCCCAACGTAATCACAAGGCAGGAGTGTAAGAGCCAGAAAGAATGAGATGTGATGACAGACACAAAAGTCACAGTGATAGGATTGCTGAATGGGGGCCATGAGCCTCTAGATGCTGGAAAAGGCAAGAAAATGGATTCTGCCCTGGAGCCTTCAAAAAGAATGCATTCCTGAGGACACTTCGATTCCCACCCAGTGAGACCAATTTTGGACTTCTAACCTTCAGAAGTGTAAGATAATATACAGGTATTGTTTTAAGCCACAATATTTGTGATGATCTGTTATGGAAACAATAGGAAACTAATACAAGTACTTCTACGTATAGTGGAATACTATGCAGCCATTTAACAGAATGAAGAGCACCTACACATTTTCATATGGGAAGATCCCCATGATATATTATTAAATGAAACACATCAAAGTCTCAGACAATGTGAGCATCATGCTACCCCTTGGTTACAAGGGACATACACATGGGCCCGTATATATCTAGAAGGCAAAACAAAAAGTGAGTAATAGTGATTGCCTCTGGGAAGGGACACACTGGGGAGGGAGTGGGCAGAGTTGGAAGCAGAACTGCCCTTTCATGATGTACTTCTCAGAGCTGTAACACATTTTGAGAATTGTCACTAGATGGAAAAATCCATTTCCACACCAAATTCGTTGGGGAAGAAGATAAACCATACTAAGCCCTATTGGCGTTTTGCAGGTGTGTTGCTCTAAACTTCAGGGAAGAGTAGATAAATAACATTCCCTGACATAAGCGATTAGCTGCTAGGTGTGAGAATGGCTAATCTCTGGCCCAGAGCAGCAGAACTGAAGTTCAGATGGAAGCTGAGAGAGAGAGAGAGAGAGAGAAACCCAAGGTCATTGAGGAAAAAGTAGACACTAACTCCACATTTGGGATCAAACCATTCAGAAAAAGATATGGTGCTTCTTTCCCAGAAGTATGTGAAGAAGAAATGTTAGAAGGAGGTTTTTGTTTTGTGAGATAGAAACCTAGAACAGGAAATTTAAGAAGGTGGTGAGGCTATAGCTAGCTAATTATGAAGTGTGAACTGGAGAAGAAATGAAAGTCTGCAGCCACTCCTGCAAACTGGTGCAGTTATCACCCAAGGCAGCCAGCTGTCCCTGCAGGCCTCACTCTTAGCAGGGACTGTACTCCTCTCTCTGCAGTGAGGTATCTCCCCCAACCAGGATTTCACCAGGGACCTTGGGGGACCCTGGCTAATGTGGCCCCAGGAGGGAGGAGGAACTTAATTGTGGGCAAACCATAGGAGTTAGCACTGGGAAAAGGTGAAGGAATGTATTTTCAGTAGAGGTTTGAGGCATAGGGAAATAACTTGTGAAACCCAGTATCAATTTGGGAAGTAGGGATGTTGACCCCCAACCCATGAGATCTAGGGCTTCTCAAAGCAAAGGAGAAAAGGAGAGAAACCCCCAGGTCTTCAAAAGCACAGCTGCTTAACATTTGAATCACTGCTAAACCTCAGTTTGTTTATCTGTGAGATGGGAATAAATGGTACCCACCTCTGTGGGAGGGTAAAGGAAGCTTCCTGTGCTTGGCAAGCATTCTGGAACTTGCTGTCTTCTTAGGGTTTGCAGGCGCTTGGCGTTCACTATCTCACTTGCTGTGGGCTTCTCCACGTGTTTTAATACCATTAGCTCCTTTACCCTCCATGATGACCCCATAACGTAGGCTGCTTCTTTTCCCCATTTTACAAATGGAGAAACTGAGGCAGGGAGCCCTCAAACAGCTTGCCATGGTTATCTAGGAATTCAGTAGCAGAAGCATGGCTTGACCCTTGGCAATTTGGCATTACAGGTTGTATGTTTAACCATTAAGCCATACACATCTTGTAGTAAATGGGAAAAAAATGGTAGTTGTGGCTATGGTGATAATGAGTGCAATGTCAAAGTACCATTATTTATCCCCATCACGCAGTTAAATAAAATGAGGCTTAGAAGGATTAAGTGATTCAAGTGTTAAGTATCTATGCTTTTGTGACCTACTTGTGGGGCTCAGGTCCCCATCAGAGGGATCCAGATAAATGCCACTAGGCCTGCTCCAGTGACAGCGCCTGGGTGGCTGGTGGAAGCCAGAAAAAGGGGGCGCCTTGAACACATTTGGAGATGACTGATCTAGGGGCAGCCTGATGTGCCCTGTGCTGCTGGGACTCTTCACTCACGTTCCCAGGATGGACGAGGCCTCAGTGGGCTTAGTGTGGCTCTGGAGCAGGGCTCCGAGCAGAGTGGCATTATGATAACACGTGTGAGAACCCCAGGATTCTTCAGGTGGGGCTGCCAGGGACAGACATTGACACTTGCAGGAATGGAAGCCATTATAGGGCATCCAGAAATTCCCTGTCTTGTTTGGACCAGAAGGAAGAGATTCAGCCTGAGCAACACAGCGAGACCCCATGTTTACAAAAAATTAGCTGGGTATGGTGGCTTGTGCCTGTAGTCCCAGCTACTCAGGTGGCTGAGGTGGGAGATCACTTCATTCAAGGAGGTCGAAGTTGCAGTGAGCCATGATCACCACTTCACTCCAGACTGGGTGACAAAGCAAGACCCTGTCTCAAAAAAGAAAAAAAAGAAAGAGAAGGAGGAGATTGCAGGAGTCAGGACACAGAATATGAACTTCAGTCCTCATTAGCGCTTTGACCATACACCTAGCATGGTGGTCTGGGGAAACACCTGCTCTAGTACCCATTGAAGTCTATAATGCACTAAAACAGCACGTTGAGTTAAATGTAGTTTGAAAAGTTGGCTCCAGCTCCGCTTAAGAAACCACAGGAGAGTGAAAAGTTTATAAGCTACACCATTACTAAAATGACTCTGGTATTAAGGGATATAGTTCAGATTATTAATTTAATAACTGGCAGAGCAAAAAAAAAAGGTTCTTGATTTTGGAAGTGGTCTCATTCACTTACCAAGCAGGTAGATCAGACCTGCTTGAGTTTAAACTCATTTCTTCTTTCTTTTTTTGTTTTTTTCCCCCCTGCTTTAATCTTCAGCTTGCTTCAGTTTTCTGTATCTATAAATTGCTTTCGGGAAGCTGTACTCAGAAAATGTTTCAGTATGCAGTTGACCTATTTTAGTTCCTACATTTTCTTTTTGGTAAACACTTTTTTTACTAATAAAATGATGTGGTCGAGTATGGTGGCTCATGCTTATATTCCCAGCACTTTGGGAGGTCGAGGTGGGTGGATCACCTGAGGTCAGGAGTTTAAGACCAGCCTGGCCAACATGATGAAACCACATCTCTACTAAAAATACAAAAATCAGCCAAGCATGGTGGCACGCTCCTATAATCCCAGCTCCTCAGGAGGCTGAGGCACAAGAATGACTTGAACCAAGGAGGTAGAGGCTATGGTGAGCTGAGATTGCAGCACTGCATTCTAGCCTAGGCCACAGAGTGGGACTCCATCTCAATAAAATAAAATAATAAAAGACAATAAAATAATTATTTGGGGAAACAAAATTTTGAAAAGGGGGAAATAATGGAGTGGGAGTGACATCTGCCACAGTGAGCATTTTTGCTGTTCCTTTCACAACCGCAGTGACCTTTTCACTGGTGATGGTGTTGAAGTGGCGGAAAAGGGGTGGAAAATCATCCCTAGGTAGAGGCCAGGTAGAAAAAGGCAGGTGAGTGAGAAAGTGCCTACGGGCTGATGACAGAATCCTTTACAGCTTCCAAAAGATCTCAACACTGAGATTTGGGGGCTTGATTAACTCAACAGGCAGGCCTGCAAATCTCTAGTGCAAAAGCAGGAGGAAGTTTCACATTTATTGCAACACATTGTCATGGATCTCTCCTTCCTGCTACGACAACAGGCAGGGAGCTCTGCTATGATGACCTTTAGTCCTCAACTTTTGATTCTACCCTGTGGACTTCCAGATGCTACCTTGGAGTAGAAGGACCTGCCCTGCCACCCAGCCCCTGGTTCCACAGTGGACAATTTGGCTTGGCAGAGGCTTTAAAGCTTAGTCTTTCATGACCCAGGTCAGGGAGCCTCAGTGAGTTGTATACATTTCTGTTGTACAGGCTTCTGTTCCAAGTCAATTGTAAAATGCTGAACAAATCAAATGGGGGATTACATTGAATGAATATTTAGAATACCAGAATTTCATTCAACTATGAGTAATAGAAACCTGAGAAGCAGTGGTTTAAATCAATAGGAATTTATTATTCTCTCACAGAATGAGAATTCCAGAAATAGGCAGTGCAGGGCTGATAGGGCAGTTCCAGTTCACCATCCTAGTGTGGTCCACATTCTCACATTCATAAGATAGTTACTGTCACTCTGGCTGTCTCACTGTGCTCTTAGAAACAGAAGGGAAGATGGGCCACGTGAAAACAATGCCCAGCAGTTGGGTCAGTATGTTTTTAATTCTCACCCTGTTACTAAGGAGCAAGGTGGAAATATATATTGGCTAGGTACCTAGAAGTCTCTGCTACAAGATGTCTCTGAATGGACGAAAATGTGAATTGCTGAAACTGCCAACTGTAACATGGCCGGAACAAGTTCATAGAAAAATTCAGAAACTCCTGAGCTCTGTTCATTAGTTCCCAAAGGCTGGCAGGTAATACTGACTGATAATAATCCCATGAATCTAGCATTTATGACAAGCCTACCCAATAGACAGTGAAAGACATTGCCACTGGAAACATGGAATCTAGTTCATGAGGCTACTTACCACCCCCTGCTCCAAAAATGGAACCCACGAAAGGCAACATAGGAATATGTTAGGTACTATTTGAGTGAGCATGCATAGTTTTGTCAGTTTGCATGTTTTGCTTTTTTAGGAGATATATATATATTTAAATGAAAATATTAAGTCAATTGAGTTTATATCGACTCTCTCCGCCATCTTCAAGTATATCTTTCATGCTTAACAAGCTTGTGTCACTAGTTACCTAAGTCCAATAAGATGAATTTTTTGGATAACTGAGGAATTATTTTAAGCAAAAATTAAAAAAAAATTAACCAGCAGTAGTGGAAATACTAAACCTTATCACTTGTTTCATCAACATATGTTGAATAATTTAACATATGAAAAGTTGTTTTGTTTTTAACTGACACATGATTGTACACATCGATGGGGTACAGTGTGATATTTTGATACATGTAAATATTGTGTAAAAATCAAATCAAGGTATTTAGCGTATCCATCACCTCATGGATTTATCCTTTCTTTGTAGTGAGAACATTCAAAATCCTTTCCTATAGTTTTGTTGTGATATACAATATAATATTGTTAGCCAGAACCACTGTGTAATAGAATGCCAGAACTTATTCCTCCTCTCTCACTATAACTTTGTACCCACTGACCAATCTCTCCCCATCTCACCTCCCCTTTCTCCTCCCCAGCCTCTGCATCTGTGAGCTCAACTTCTTTAAGTTGCACCTGAGTGAGGTCATGAAATACTTGTCTTTCTGTGCCTGGCTTATTTCACTTAGCATAATGTCTTCTGGGTTCATCCATGTTGCTGCAAATGACAAGATTTCATTCCTGCCTTATAGTTGAATAGTATTCCATTGTTTATAAATAACACACACTCTCTCTCTCTCTCTGCTCTTTCTGTCTCTTTCTTTCTTTCCTCAGACTATAGCAGTGAAAATAACATATTTTCTTTACTCCTTCATTCCTTGATGATATTTATGAAAAATGCTCAACATCAGTAATCATTGGGAAAATGCAAATCAGACCACAGTGAGATATAACTTTACCACAATTAGAATGGCTATTAGCAAAAAGAAAAAATAACAAATGCTGGCAAACAGGTGAAGGGGAGCTCTTATACACTGTTGATGGAAATGCAAATTAGTACAGCCATTATGGAAAATAGTATGGAGGTTCCTCAAAAAATTCAAAATACAACTACCGTATGATCTAGCAATCTCACTACTGGATATATATTCAAAGGAAATGAAATCAGTATGTCAAAGAGATAGGTGTACTCACGTTTATTGCAGCACTATTTGCAATACCCGAGATACGGAATCAACCTAAGTGTAATAAATGTTTTTGACTGGCTGCTACTTGTGCAGAAAATAACCTTCCTTACCATTACCCATGCCTTCACCATCTGCCCCCCACACACACCACACACTCCTTACCCTTCCCTCTCCCCACATGACTGCCATATCAGGAAGGAAAATTTTGTTTGATGGAGATGCTGAGATACTCCTATTTCACGGAGAATGGGTTAGAGCCAGCAGGTACTCAGGCACTTGCGTTATGCTTGCATTAAAAAAAAATCTTAATTAAAAGAACTGAAATGTATTTAGCCTGTAGACAACGTAAAAGTAAAAGTCTCTGGGAACTCTGAACCACTGATGGCGAGTATGTAAATTGCTAAGCTGACTCTGGAAAATGGTTTGGCAGAATCTATGAAAACTGAACATAGGCATATTTGCAGATTACACTCGTGGCCATCAACTTAGTGACACAGCTTCATCCACAGCCCCATCCTAATGCTAGGACCCAGTTCAGCCTCCCTTCCTCTGTGATAGCTCAGGCCTCCCTCCTGCAGCGTTCCGTCTATCAGCTGGTCAAAGGCGGTCTAACCTTAGCCTATCACAGGCACGTTCACTGCTGTGAACCTCAGCAAGAAAGATTAGGAGATGGGAAGCTTCCTCTCAGTAAGCTCCCTGAACACTATGTAAACTTTCCCACCCCTTGTCCAGAAACCTTCGAACTCTATACCACTTAGGATGATGACTTCACCATCACTATCTAGTACTAAAGCCCAACACAAACTGGTTTATACAATAAAGATGAAGCACTGGATCATGTAACAGCAAAGACCAATGTGGGCTTCAGGCACAGTTATATCAGAATTCCAGTTCAGTTTCTCAGAGATCTCTTAATTCCACATTCTGCTAAGTTGGCTTTGTCCTCAAGCAGAAGTCCCTCCTTGTCTTAAGATGTTTTCCAGCATCAACTGGGCTACGTGCTTCCTTCTCAAATGATGAGAAGAGAGCAGGCAGAGGCTTATCTGGATAGAAATCTAGATAACCACTGGATAAAAGCACTGAACTTAATTCTGATGGGACTTTCTGGCCATATGCCCACTTTCCAAACCAATAATTTTAGCAGCAAGATCCCAGTTGAAGCTGCAAGCCCTAGTCAAGCAAACCAAGCACAAACTAAAATAATACCTGTTGCACTCCCCCCAGAATAATAAGTATCTTACTATGTCTACAACACTAAAAAGGATCCATTCAAATGACTCATCTCAAAATAAAGCAGGTATGCTCCAAAGTGATTTCACATCCTCATGATGTCTCTGAAATAGCAGTGGTTGGCAATTTAAAGTTTTCTCCCTATAACTTAAAGTTCTACCTCATTGTTGTATTGGACTGTAACACCCAACCCCTTCTCCAAATAATCTAAGAAAATTTGGTTAGATGACCACATGCCATAGGATTTGTAGCACTGGATTCAGATATAACAATCATAACCCACCTTTGATTAGCATTTTAAGTTTCCAATGTATTCACATGCAGCATTTCTTTTCATTCCCGGAAGCTGAGTAGAATCTGTACTGCTAGATCCAGTTTGTAGGTAAGGAAGTCTCAGAGAGAGTGAGTGACTTCCCCAAGGTTAATGATCTATAAGTGAAAAAAAAAGAGTTGGCATTAGGATCTAGGTCTTTTCAATGCTGAACTTTTGTGAAGACCTTTCCTCTGATCAGTCTTTTGGACTATAAGAATCAATCCTGAAAAGGCATCACATTTTCAGGGGGTTGGGGACAGGCAGGGAAAGGCAGCAGGGGAGGAACACTGGATTGGGGAAGGGGAAAGTGAGAATGGGAATGGTGAAAGACAGAGAAAGAAACTGGAATCATGAGTTGGCTCTAACCCTGAAGACTGTAATCTAAAATGTTTGATTACTATACACATTTTTAAAGAGAATACCTTGCAAGCAATGTGACTTTGAGATGCAGACACTAGAGAGGGGATACTCAAAGACTGGGCAGCCCAAACCTACCAACTGAAGGGTTTTGTTAATGATTTTATAGATTAAGACTGGTCAGGTGCAGCCGGGCATGGTGGCTCACGCCTGTAATTCCAGCACTTAGGGAGGCCAAGGCATGTGGATCATGAGGTCAAGAGATTGAGACCATCTTGGCCAATATTGTGAAACCTGTCTCTACTAAAAATATGAAAATTAGCTGGGTGTGGTGGTGCGCACCTGTAGTCCCAGCTACTTGGGAGCCTGTGGCAGGAGAATCGCTGGAACCTGCGAGGTGGAGGTTGCAGTGAGCCAATATCATACCACTGCACTCCAACCTGGTGACAGAGCGAGACTCCATCTCAAAAAAAAAAAAAAAGAAAACTGGTCAGATGCTATATAAAAAATTATCTTTTACAGCACATGCTTTAGATAAATTTAGAGTACTTGGACACTGAGCTCGTTGAAAATTTTCTTATGACTTTGATCTGCACTGGGGAATATGGAAAGACGTTGAGAACCAAGAAATGTTACAACCAGGAAGACAGTCCTTATCAACTATTTATTTCCTCTGATATGACCATTTACCTGGGCAGCTCAGATATTATCTTCAAGATCTGTTTAAGGTACAAAGAATCCTCCTTGAATTATTTCCAACAAGAATTAGATTACATCTAATCTCACAGTGATGAGAAATAATTAATATGGATATTCTTGGGCTGTTGTGGCAATAAATCTAATTTTTGCACTGTGGCATGGAAGGAAAAATAGACGTTGCAAACTAGAAGCTTCATGGGCCAACTGTGGGCTGCAGGTGGAATGTGTTTGCTTTCCAGTGTTTTAAGAGAACAGTTCTCTCCGGGTCTCCATTGTCTCATCATTCACACAATACAAAGGTGCATTCACACACCTCTTGTCTCATTGCATCCCCTGTCTGATCCTAAGGCTTCTGAGTTTGAGGCCTTGAAATAAGAAAAGTCATTATATATATATATATGTGTGTGTGTATATATATATATGGCAATACAAGGAAGAAAGAATCATTTATCTTGGCAAACACATAATGGGATGAAAATTACAGAAAGGTAAATTAAGTTATAAAACCCAGGGAAAGTCATTTCCTAGAAAAATGACTGGAATCTGGTTCCATTTCCTGAAAGGCAAAAGTAGCCTCCACATTGGCCCAGATCTGGGAAAGAAGGGATTGAGCTGCAGAGCCCTTTGAGATGACGTTTAGTGGGACTGTTTGTTCTGTGACTCTGGGAACTAAAATTGCAACAGAAAATATCATTATGCCAAACAATTGGCTGAAAGGCAACACCAGTTAAGTCCTTACAAAACAGGAGACAAAGACCAAGAGC